CGCCCGCCGCGCCGCAGCCCCGCAGCCCGGCCGCCGCCGCCGCAGGGCCGGCGGGAGCGAGCGGCAGCCGGCGGCATGAGGCGCGACCCGGCGCCCGGCTTCTCCATGCTGCTCTTCGGCGTCTCGCTCGCCTGCTACTCGCCCAGCCTCAAGTCGGTGCAGGACCAGGCGTACACGGCGGCCGTGGTGCTGGAGGGCAAGGTGCAGTCCGTGGCCCCCCCCGCAGGCGGCGGCAATGACAGCCGCGGCGCCTCCGGCCCCGCCGGGGGGGTCCTGGTGAAAGTGCTCGACCTGTGGCCCCTCAACAGCGGCGGGCTGCAGCGAGAGCAGCTCATCAGCGTGGGCTCCAAGGCGCCCTGCTTCAAAGTGAAGCGCAACCACCGCTACATCTTCTTCCTGGAGCCCACGGAGGAGCCGCTCGTCTTCCGCACCGCCTTCGCCCCGCTCGACACCAGCGGCAAGAACCTCAAGCGGGACGTGGCGCGGATCCTCTGCGCGGACTGCGGTACGGGGGCGGCGGGGCGGCGGGGCCCGGGGCCGGGCGGTGGGACGGGCCCCGCCCGAGCCGGGAGCTGCGCTGCCATCGCCGGGCCCGGCCCCGGGCGCTGCGCGGGATGCGGCGGCGCTCCGCTCCGCGCTGCCCGGTGCGGTTCGCTCCGCGTTTGCCGATGCGGAGCCGGGCCGAGCCCCGAGCGGGGCCTGCGGCGGTGGTGCCTTCGCAGGTGCGCCGGGAAGTTTGGCCTCCTTCAAAAGGAGGGTCTCGTTTTCCGAAGTCGTTTTTCTTTTGTTCGTTTAGCGCGTTTCGATTTGCGCCTTTAACGTACCTGCTCCGTGCTTTGTGTGTGCCGTGCAGCGCTCCTTCATCACCTTTGTGAGTGCCGTTATGAAATGATTTCGACAGAGGAGCGCTTGCGAGCGTTCCTGGCTTTTGTGCCTGGCTTTCCCTGCTGTCCTCCGGCTGTGCGATGGGTTGGGGGGAACCGGCTGCAGACAATGACTGCATTTTCTCAGGGTTGGGATCTGAGCTTACAAAAATGCGAGGCTGGCCCTTCGTTAAGCTCCGGTGCTCAGATCCTGTGTCTCAAACCCGGGCAGGGCTGGGTTACCTGCAGCTCCCGGAGGCACGCCGTGCTGCCTGCAGCAAACCCCAGTCTCTCGTGTTTGGTGGCCTGTGGGGCTGTAAGGGCCTGTCCCCAGGTTCTGTGCTCAATGACAGAACGCTGTGCTTGCTCATCAGGTTAATTGGCCTTTTGCCTCCTTAGAGACAATGTGCCACACTAGTTATGCATAGCTCTGTAATGAACATATGCGCGTGGTGTTGTTGTTGTTGTGTTCTCACATCGGTGTTCCTGGGGCAGTAGTTGGCCATGGCTGATAGTAGACCCTGTGTTTTGAAGGCTGGACCTGTCTCTTTTTTTAGTTATCACAAAGAAGGTGAAACCTGGCCTGCCATAATATGTTGTTGAGGAAAATGGACTAGCACTGCATATCAGAAAACTAATTCAGGAGGCACTGATCTCATGTACATCTGTATGTGGGCCATCGTGGACGTTGAGGATTTGGTGAAATATGGAGTTAAAAGCGAGAGAAGGAGAGAAAATTATTGAGATTTTGATTTTGCCACGAGGTGAAAGCACAGCAGAAGGTCTATGGCTTTTTCTTTTCTTTTCTTTTCTTTTTTTTTTTTTTTTTTTTTTTTTTTTTTTTTTTTTTTTTTTTTTTTTTTAAGCAGGAAGGATTGCAAACTTGTGTATCTCTGAGCAGTGGGGTATGACTTTAAGAGGAACACAGTCTGCTCTGTGGCTTTCTGGATCAGGCCCAAAGCGCTAACGTGTGGGCTGATGTAACAACAAGTGAGGGGATGTCGTTCTGCCTGTGACACCCTCCTGGAGCTGATGCTTTGTTTTTGTGTTTCCTACGGGCTGAGGGACGCTGCAGGTTGTCAGCAGTGCTGCCTCAGCGGAGCTGTATGGCAGATGCAAAAGGAAAAAAAAAAAAAAAGCTGGTGGTTGGGAGCTGTCATAGCTGTGGTTTGTTAAGTGATGAGGCTTAGATGGGAGCCTCAGCGCACTGAACTTGTGGTTCCTGCAGCATGAAGGTTCAGCCAGGGCACCGGGAGGCAGGTTCTGAAGGTGACATTCCTGGCAGGATCTTCTGATTTGTGGCATCTTAGCTGCTGGAAGGTGCACAGACTGGAAACCAGGCCACGGTCTGCTTTCTTGCTCCTGGGGTTCCGGCGGGGCAGGGATGCAAAGAGGCACGGGGCTATTTCCCATCCTCGCTGCAGGTGGGGGTGGTGGACAGCTCCAGGGCTGGCAGAAGGAGTGGTGTCCCGGCATGGGGACCTCCGAGGGACAGCAGGCTGTGAGAGCCATGGAGCAGGGGGTGTGCTCTGACCACGAGCCCCTGCTCCTGAAGATGGAGGCCTTGCAAGGCTGTCGTCTCCCCTCCTGGCTCTGTGCCTGGCTCTGGTTTCAGTGATTCATTCCCTTCATGGCTGGGATGCTGTGTGTCCTCTGCTCTCCTGCCTGCTGAGGACCCGCGTGTGCCGCAGGGTCAGGCCTGCAGTCAGAGCATCCATGGCTCTCTCCCAGGGTCAGGCTGTTGCCTGTACAGCACGCTGCAGGGACAGGTGAAGCCCTGCAGGACAATAAGGGAGTCTGAAGGAGAGGGGGGCACTGCACGAGGTGCAGGAGGTGGAGAGGGAAAATCTGTGCCAAGTTCCGGGAGGCACTTGGGGGGGGTCTCAGCTGGACGGTGTCATACTGCCCACACAATGCTGAGGTCTGGGAAGGGGAACTGCTGGGCCCACTACTGGGCACTTCAGAGGCTGGAGCTTCCCTGCCTGCAAAATCCGGAGGTCTGCAGCCTCTGCCCCTCTGCAGAGCCATGGATGAAGGAGTGTTTGTGCTCCCTGGCACATGGGGAACAGCTTGGGTCTCACCACCCTCATGGGCATCTTAAAACCTCTCCTGCACTGGCAGCGTTATTGTATTTTTCATGCTGTTATATAATGATTCCTGTTATCGCTTCTCTTCCTATCTCTTCACATCTTTTAGCTCCTTAATTTTCGATGGTCTCTTATTTCTTCTGCGCCTACATGCACAGATCGAGGAAGAAGATGTAGCTGCAAGGCACAGTGCTTCCTCCAGCGCATGGCCATGCAGCACAACATCCCTGCTGGGACCATGCTGATTTCAGTGTGCAATGGAGGTTGTGGTTCACACCCTTCTGGTTCTCAAGGGTCTCTTGTGCCACCATTTGCCTTTCCCTGGACATGAACTTCTGCTTCCTGTGCAAAGAAAACATCCAGTATACAGGAGGAGCCCTTGCTAGTGGGGATGTAACATCTTTGGCCCTTGACTTCTGGTTTCACAGAGGAACAGATGTCTCTCTGCCTCCATATGCATCAAGCTGCAAAGTAGACTTAGTACTTGTACCTCTGCTGGAGCACCTCACTGAAACGCTACAGTGTTCCAGGAGGAGTGCACAATGTGCTGTAGGATTAGGTGGTTTAGGCTGAGCAAGTAATCTGGCGGGGGCAGATCCCTGGGAGGATTTGCAGGCACAAACCTGTTGTTGCAGCAGCAGGTGCTGTGTGCGAGATGAGACCCTGAGCACTAGGTTCTGAGGCAGGACAGTGCTGGGGCTGCGGCGCTGCACTCGGGCACTGTGAGCTGCTGGCGGGGAATATGCTGACTCTTCGAGCTGGGCTATGAGGAGAGGAGGGAGGACCGATTTTAAATGCCCGCGGGAAAATACAGCCCTCTGGATTATGGTGTAGGTGTTGCTGCCTGAAATAGTGCTGGCAAATTTTCGACAAGCAGCTCATGCAAAAACACCCCTCTCTGCTCTTCTGCAATTCATCCCACGTGCTGCAGCCAGGCAGGTGCATGGGAGGGGCGCGGGCTGCAGTGGGGGTCTGCCTTTATCCCAGGACAGCTGTGGAGCAGAGAGCAAGAAAGTTGGATTTTCTTACATGCTGCCCTGCTAATTAGAGCTGTCTGAAACTGCTTCTCACCACCTTCAGAAAATCACACTTCCTTAGGTTCACAGAGGAGCAAAAACTTGTTTCCTTCTTGCCTTGAGCTCCTACAGATGGGGAGCAATCACTGAGCTGCAGAAGGCTTTTCCCCCCTTGCACTCTTCTGCTCGCTCTCTGCTGCTGGTTCACTGGCACAAGGGATTTTGTATGTGCATAGACCCGAGATGGCAGGTCCTCAGGACAGTGCAACTCCTCATATCCCCTCTGAGGCTAAAGCATTGTTGTGGGCTCAGCCATGCCCAAAAGAACCGAGCACGCACCTCCCAGGCACGTGCTACACATGCAGCAAAGCCTGGCTGGATGTCTCAGTGCTTTTCAGAACCACTTGACTAAATAAAGCGTTTCCCCAAGGATCTCTGTGAGTAACAGGAGACTAATAGGGCTCCTGCACGGTCTCAGTCATGCTGGTTGCTGTATCGAGGGCCTCTCCACGCACAGCCCTGGGCAGCTGCTG